CTCCCTCTTCAAGGATGACCATGCCAGTGCCCATGTGTGCAGCATGGCATATCCAAGGCAAATCCCTTCTGAGTCAGGATTTTGGTTGCTACACTCCTCCTGGCATTACACAGAGCACCATATAGCCCGTGCAATGGGACTGGGGGAGCAGAGAGGGTGTCTAACTCATGCACTGTTATAACATCATGGAAAAAGTGACACAAATGTGACCAATTTTCCAGCTTTTCCCAGTGAGGAAATACACAGAGATTGGGTCGCTTCCTTTTTTTCTTTCCCTCCTGGCCCACAAACTCTTTAAAGAGATGTGTAGGATTCTTCCAGGAGGGAGGAACATGGTTTATGTTCGAGGCCCTGGCTCAGCAAAGTATTGAAGCGTGTGCCCAACTCCAAGCGCGTGCCCAACTCCAAGATTGCTCAAGTGATTCTGGGTGCCCATCTTGCGATGCCAGAAAGGGCCCTGATTCTCAAAACATGCTGAGCAATCACCCTCTGAACCTCACCCTCTGCTGAGGTTCTGGCCCACCATTTGGTAATGATTTAAAGTTATCAGTTGATGGCTGTTGAGTGGCTGATATGAGCAGAGCTGGTGGGTCTCAAACCATCTCTCGTGGGTTCATGTCCCATAAGCAACCTTCTCACCTGGCCCTAACTGGTCTCGTCTAAGGAGGGTTCAGCACAGATGCCAAAGAATGACAGCGGATGGAGAATGTACGCAGTGTAGTTGTAGCCATGTTACTCCTATAAATGAATGAAATTCAGTTCTCCTCTCACTCTAAGGAGGACCACGTGGATCAGGGTTAAGGCATGGTAATGGACAGCGTGGAAGAAGCCAGCACTTTTGCTGCCCATTCTGCTCCGTGGAGACAGGGCTCCAGATCCCAGGGCCGCCGATCTGCCAGGTTTCACCAGCCTACTGAGACTTCAGGAATCCGTCTGTGCCAGGACATCCCAATCTTACTTCCAACAGGTGGATTTTTTCCTGGCAACAGAAGCCCACTTTGCATTTTCTTATGCAATCAGTCCATTCCCCTTTTCAAACGAGCCCCATTCCTCAGCCCCATACACCTCTCACTGGCCATTTAGGATTCTAACTGTGGCAGACTTTCATGTGCCAACATACAAAACACAGACCTACCCTCAGAGGTTGAAATCCTCTCGCGTCCCCTACGCACGCATGACCCCCATGCCCTTCCCGCTTCTTGTCCATCTGAGTCTGCCTCTCCTCCACTACCCTGCCAGGGCACAGCACGGGATCTCTGAATGCTCTCCGTGCCTGTGAACTGAACCCATGCCTCTGAGAATGGGTAGGGAACTCATCTTCACTGTCACCCACTGCAGAACCAGCTTCACTCCCTCATGGCTGCAGCAGTCCCGGAGCCTTAAAATCCTTCCTTTCCTGCCAAAAGAGGAAGGGAGCTTTGTAACCAGAAACTCAAGGTTATACCAAGATGTGCAATCTGCAGGGCAAGAAAGCCCTGCAGGAGAGGTGGGCTTTCAAGGTTCTAGGACAGTAGGCGCCCAATGAAAATAAACCATGCCCATCCCATCTCCAAGACACGTACATTCGTGAATATTGTTACGATGGGCAGGTGGAATGGACACATCTGCCCAAGCTTCTGGAATGGTGACCATTAGCCCAGCCCTTCTAGCTCCCTGCATAGACCTAGTTGGTGTTGGTCCTGCTTTGAGCAGGGGGTTGGACTAGATGACCTCCTGAGGTCTCTTCCAATCCTAATCTTCTATGATTCTCTGACCTACTCCTCTTGGTCTTTGGACTCCGAACCCCCTGGACTCTCCACAGGCACCACTCTGGGGCCAAATCCTGCCTCAATTTATGCCCTGTGTAATCCATGGGAGCAGAATGCAGGACAAAATTTGGCACCCTGCAACGTTATAAGCACTCTACAGGGAGTGAAGGCAGTTTGCGCTGTGTGTATAAAGAACCCAATGTTCTGGCTCCAGAACATCTGAAGGACAATTCATCCCTCAGGGGAGGGAGGCTCGGGTGCAGATTTATCAATGCCAAAAGTCTGTGCAGAAAGTTCACGATATTGGTCACAATGAGACAAAATCCAGGGAAGGGCTTATGTTTTTCATGGGCCCAGTCCACTGCCCACCAAAGTAAACAGAAACCTTTCCACTGACTTCAATGTGCTTTGGATCCCATCCAATGTCCTTTACAGTACCAAAGTGTCGGACCCAATCCTGTGCTCCCATCCACCACTGCAGCTCCTGAATCACTCCACTGACTTAAATGTAGTTACTCCAGATTTACACTAATGGAACAGAGACAAGAATATAGGGCCTGATCCTGAACCCATTAAAGTCAATGGCTTTAAAGTCCCATTCATTTCCAGAGTGTAAGATCAGGCTTTTAATCCATTATTTATTAAGATAGAAGCTAGAGGTAGAAAAGACCATTTATCTCCGGCCCCGAGAAGCAGAGTAGCTACACTCCCTGTGTGCATTTACTAACGTTTAGCCAGTCTTGTTTTAAATGTGTCAAGTAATGGCTTTCAGTCAGTTCCCACCGAGACCATCCCACAGACTGATAGATCTCATCCCTGGGAAGTTTTTACACTTCCCCACCAAAAAAAATGGCCCTTTTTCCTTTTATGAAAAATGTTGTATTTGAAAATTCTGGTCTAGGAGGATGGAAAATCATTCCGCTGGCGGAAAGGTGCAGTGTATTTATTTTAAAATGAAAAATCTGCCCACTTGGAAAACTAGTGGCGTGAAACTGTGTTCAGACGTTTTGAAAAGCTGGTGAATTTAAAAGATATAAATATATTTTGACCCGCTCTAGAATGGACTGATGCCTATCTCTCTAGCCTATTAATATGGCTCTCATTACTACAGAATGTGAGCGCCTTGCAGCCTTTAATGTATTGATGCTCAGAACGCACCATGAGGTAGGGTGGTGCTGTTATCCCCATTGTACAGATGGAGAACTGAGGCACAAAGAGGCTAAGTGACTTGTTCAAGGTCCCACGGGAAATCTGTGGCAGAGCATGGACTGGCACCTACCCCTCCCAAGTCCTAGGCTAGACCCATAACCACCATCATTAGAGTCCTTTTATGCCTGTTTGTCCTCTCTCTTACTAGGATGCTCTTACTAGGATGTTCTCCTCTTGCTGGTCCGCCGTTTGCAGACCGTTACGTCTGGGGCCCTTGCTATGTGAAAGAAACCAGAGGAGGTCCCAGCCCAGCTCTTCCTTTCTCAGAAACCCTCAGATGAAATATGGGGTCACAATCTCTCCAGGGTAGCAAAGCACCCGCCATGTTCTGCTACTCCGCCTGTGGGCCAAGTTGCTCTGAGCTGAACGAGCACCCCACGTCGGCAGCAGCATGACACATTCACATCCTCTGGCGTTCCCCGGCTCCTTTATTTGCCTTGACTTTTTAACTAGCAAGAAAGGCTGCTGGAGGTGTTGCTCCCCTCCCCGCCCCTCCACATCTGATAGTTAATCAGTGTCTCTTCAGAGAAGCCGGGCCAGATCCTCAGGTGGTGTAAATCAGCATGGCTCCATTGACCAGTCAAACTATGCCAACGTGCAACAGCTGAGAGTCTGGTCCCATGGGCTTTGTACACCAGCTGTGGATCTGACTCCATTCATTCAAGGGAGTGACACCAATTTGCACCAGCTGAGAGGCTGTTCCACCACAGGTTTTTTGGCCCCCTCTCCCTGGAATTACCCATTTTCTCACTGATGCCTTAAAATCTTCTGCTCGTCCTAAATGGAAACAGTCCTCGGGACACTTCCCAAGCAACAAGTTGGATCATTATTAAAGCAATGGGCCAGATCCTTGGCATCGTTTTAAACCAGTCAGTGGAAATATTCTGATTTACACCACCTGAGGATCTGGCTCAGGTCCCCACAAGAGTTCACTGCATGAATTGCCATGGTGGGTCCTTCATTTCCTAGCTCAAAAGCAAACCCTTTGCAAAAGGCAGACAGACCTGCTACTGCCTGATGGCCTCCATCTGTTGTGTAGCCTTTAACGCGCCAACGGTGTGAGAAAGTGCTTCCTAAAGACATCTGTGGGGCTTCTGGATTTCAATCCAGTCCAGAAAGAGCGAAGGGTAAATGTAGCTGCCCTGCCTTCAAATCTTTATTTCTTTCGTTAATTTTGTAGGAACCAACGGGGCAAACCCTCCAGTAATTCATCTCTGACACTGACATTTGGATGCATTCTTGCTCTCTTTCTCAGTCTGGGCCAGATCCTCAGCTGATGTACACAGCCACAGCTGAAGTCAATGCAGCGACACCAATTTACATCAGCTGAACATCTGGCCCTCTCTGTGCTATATAGGAAAGGAAATACACACAAACACAGGCATATGAACACGACTTAACCAAATACTCAAGGAATCAACAGGATCAGCTGTGTAACAGAGCGGATCTAAGAAAGGTAGAATGGAATGAGGCTCATTGCACTTGTTATCCTTTTGGGCAGTCCCTTAAGGCAGCAGGATGCTCAGTATGCATGGACTTTCGCCCGGCTTTCTCTCTGCATACCTAGCATACGTGCACACTGAGGCTTCATATGCCACTGTGTTGTGCTGCTCTTAGAAACTGTGGGGTGGATTTGCTCACTTGCTTTAAGGCAAACAAGTATTTCTTATTGGCATGGAAAACCTTGCAGCATTAGATTTCCCATCCCCGTGTGGAAAGGCGGAAGGGGAGGGATTTGCCTCTAACCGGGGGCAAGAGGATCAAACGTATCCCTTGTCAAATGGAATTCAGCCCTCAGCTTTTCTCTTGGGAAAAGAGAAGCCCCTGGGAGTTCCATTATATTGCTCAACTGCAGATTTGACTCCAAGAGCTGGCCCGAGGGCACAGTCCCTCTGCTGCCCATCTCCCGCAGCAGGACCTGGCCAAGTGACAAAGGGTAGCTCCAGATAGGCTCGGCTCTAACCTCATAATGCACAGAAGGCAACAGCCCTGCTTCAAACAGCCCTGGCCATGCCTCCTGCAGTAGGTTGAAAAGATACCTACTTTGATGTTAGCTGGGTCAAACAGGACTTCCTTGGGGGTCTCCGGCTCTGGTGGTGGTGCTGGCTTAGGTGCTGCCTTCGGTTCCTCTTTCTTTGGTTCGGGCTTCTTTGGGTCAGGCTTCTTGGGGGGCATGCTGCTTTTTCGACTGTTTTACAAAGAGGGAAAAAAAGAGAGACGGAGAGGGAGAGAGAGTCAGAGTAGGGGTGGCTGCTCAAGGATAAAGCAGAGCACAAGTCACTCCTCCAGCGGAGGTCTTTATCCCTGCCAGTCCCTTAATGTCACACATTGTGTCATTCACCCAGCCCATCACATGCCAGGGCCCACAATAGGGGCACTGCTATAAAAGGGCAAGACATTTACCCTGCTATTTTAGAGCAGTCCGTTATGGCATTGTTATGAATTAGCACTGAAATGGAAAGAGAGTTTGGGGATTTTAGGCATGAGGTTGGAGCCTGATCAAATTTTTCTGGGGTGTGTGTGTAGGGGAGGGGGGAGTGGATTACACTGCAGGTTCCCATCTCTTTGTTCTGTGTCCAGTGGACTCTGCCAGGTACCTTTAAAGCTCACCTGTTTCTGAGTGACCAGCTCTGCTAGAAGTGATGGAGCTCTGTGCCTTTGCTGTACAGTATTTAGTTGATTGTCAGTAAAAGCCCTGGTCTACACTGTGGGGAGGATCAATCTAAGTTACACAACTTCAGCTACGTGAATAACGTAGCTGAAGTCAACGTACTTAGATCGACTTACCAGGGTGTCTTCTCCGCAGTGAGTCGACTGCTGTCACTCCCCCGTCCACTCTGCCTGCACCTCTCGCAGCGGTGGAGTACAGGCGTCAACGGGAGAGCGCTCAGGGGCTGATAGACGCAATAAATCGACCCCCACTAGATCGATGGCTGCCCACCGATCCGGCGGGTAGTGTCAACATACCCTTAGTTCCCATCTGAGACAAGAACGGTCTCAATTTTAGATGTCAGCTCTCTGATTCCTAAGAGAGGATAAGGCACAATGGGTCTGTTCACACGGCAGTTAGGCACCCGTGGGCCAGCTGACTTGGGCTTGGGCTGCTTAATTGCGATGCAGACATTGGGCTAGGGCTGCAGCCTGAATTCTGGGACCCTCCCACCCTGCCGGGACCTAGAGGCAGGACTCCAGCCCAACCCTGAATGCCTACACTGCAGTTAAACAGCCCCTTAGCCTGAGCCCGAGATGGCCGGCACGGGCCAGCCGCCGCCGGTTTTTAATTGCCATGTAGACAGACCCTAAGAACCCTGGCACCATACATACAGTCCTCTCCCAAGGGAAATTAAAGGAGCCAAGGTGGCCGGATACATAGCCGGCATTGTTTATCCAGCGGAACGCAGCGATGCACACACACAAGCATTCACACTCTAGTGCGATACTAAAAGTCTCTATCGAAAGACGGGTTTCACCATCGTGGGTGAGATTTCCGAAACTGCCTTAGGGACTCAACTGATGAATTAAAAACAACAGGAACTGTGTGCCCCAGTGTCCCAGGGAAGCTTGGATAATGTCAGCTTTTGTTCTGATTAAAAAAAAAAACTCACCACCATCAATGTAGGGACTAGGGCAGCCTGACCATTTTTCAAACATCCCTAGAAATGATGCAACTTCCCCAGTTCAAGATCGACAATGCACTGGCGGTGTCCCCAGTATTTCAGATGAACAGCAGTTCCAGCAATATTCTCTTGCCCTCTATCATTCTTTCTGGGTTAATGCAACATTCGGGGTTCCATCAGGCAAGCCCCTATGGGACCTGCATTGATTTATGTTTGACATCCTTGGTAGCTTACAGTCCCCGTCCATCTGTCTGTCTCCACCTGTTGTCTCGCTTCTACCTCGATTTTAAACTCTTTGGGCCAGAGACCGTTTTTCTGTCCTGTGTTTGCACAGCGCCTAGCACAATGGGGACCCGGTCCATGACTGGGGGTTGTAGGTGCCCTGGTAGTACAAATGATAAATAATCAAACTGTATTTATTCGTGTGTCTTGAACAATCATGATTGTCCATTATGCGTTGTCCAGCCAGAATTTCCCTCCTGTAAACCAAGGTGGATGTGAAAATAATCCAGACACTTGATCGGCTTTTCTAGCCTGATGCTGTTTCATTCCTTGTTCCACTGGCTAGTCACTGATTTCCAGAGATCTCTAGTGAGCTGTGGATTATTAGACAAGAGGATCGTTTTTTTGAAATGTAGCTTCACGTTATCATACTGGTTCCTACTCCTGACACCTCCTCACCCTCCACCGCTTGTAAGGAAGGTAGAAAGGATGCAAGTTTCTATTTGGCATTTCTGAGGAGGCCAATCCATAGGCCTCAGAATCTACAGGCGGGTTAGCACACTGAAATGATACGTACCAACAGCCCCTGCCAAACGGAAGGTCACCTGTTCTTCAGCTATCTGAGGCTGAATGCCAACAAGAGCCGCATGCCCGGCTGGCATCTCACATTTCTTTCTGCTGTATTTGGTCCTGCCGGAGCTCCCATCTGCAGTTGTCTCCGCTCAGGCCCGGCCCAGGTGAAATGTGACGTGCGAGAAGTGGTGGGATCCCGCTGAAATGACACACTCAAGAGCCTCCAGGCGACGGGACGAGCGGCTACCCCGCTGGGGCAAAAGTCGGACAAGCCTCCCATCATCTAAAAGGAAAATGTTGGCTCAAAGCTTCCCAGCCTTCTTTGCTTCTCCAGTTACCGGGCAGATGCAAAGCCACCTCACCTGGAGTGTGAGAGAGAAGAGCAATCAGCAAGGGCAGCCCTTTGTCTGCTCACACCACAAGGACATTGCATTGCTGGCTTGACAGATCCTAGAGCCTGAAACCTTCTATCCACAGAAAAGGGAAGGGACTGGACTAGGGGCTGCCAACTTTCTAGCTGCTGAAAACCGGATACCCTGCCCCTTCCCTTCCTCCCCACTCCCCACCGAGGCCCCAGTCCCAGCCCCGCCTCTTCCTCCAGGCCCTGCCCCCTGCTCACTCCTCTCCCCCTTCCCTGCATTGTCACTCCCCTCCCCCATCATCGCTTGCTCCCCCCCGCCCCCGGTCCCAGTACTCACCTGCCGCCTGCAGAGCTGGGCTGGGAGGAGCTGACGTGGAGCTCGCCTGCCTGCCCAATCAGGACATGGCAGGGCAGAGGGAGGAGGGTCAGGGCCTGGAGCGAGGGGATGGGGAGCAATCGAGGGACAGCGGGGCAGACAGGGGACAGACAGGCTCTCCCCCCACACCCCATACCTACTTCTCAGCCACTCAGAAGCCAGCCGGCCACTTCTGTCCATGAGGAGCTGAGCAGAGAGCAGCTCCTCCAGGCTCCAGCCACAGCTACTGCTCTTCCTGCCCCGTGCTGGCAGAGACCGGTTACTGCAGGTAACCGGTCGTTTAGTGTCCAGTCAGCAATGCTGACCGGACACTGCCAGGTTCCCTTTTCAACTGGACTCGCCGGTCAAAAACCGGACACCTGATAACCCTAGGCAGGACAAACTCCCATGTCAATGTGCCTTAGCGCTGCCCTGCAGGGGAGCTCTACTCACTGGTCTATCCTACAGGACTGACACCCAAGGGGTTCATTAGTGCCAGCGGTAACAGAGATGCCAGCCCCCCAGGAGCAGCACTCAGATCCAGCCACCCATTTCACTTAGGCCAAATTCCAGTGCTGTCAATCCGCACAGGCCTGTGGGGGACATACCAATGGGGGTATCCAGTGCCCTTAGTGTTCAGTTTTTGCATCATCATAACTGAGAGCAGAACTTTCCCCTCCCGCCGCAGGAAACTGGCTCTGCTGCAGTAGGAAGGGCAGGGAACGGAGATTAGGCGCTAGAGTGACAATACAAGTGCAGAGATGGACAGAAAGTGTGGCAATCACAAAAGCACCCCACTTGGTCAGAGTGGGAAGAGATAGATGTTCATGACCTTGCTGAAAGCAGAGGGAGGGAAGGTGATGGCCATATCCCAAGCCTTCCTCTACGTACTGCAAGGCAAGCATTGACAGAACTAGGATGCATCAAGTGCAACCACATTTTGCATGCACGTGACCACCCATGTGCCACTTAGCAGGTTATCCCCATACAGGGTGGTAGCTGAAATCCTGCCATCCTTTATGCCTTCTAAATGGTTGTGTTGCCTTTATGGTAAGTGTCCATTTACTTTAATACTGTCTTGAGGGAAATTCACTGCTGGAGAAAAGTGCCAAATAGAAAACAGAAGTTCTCCATGAATAAAGAACATGGATCCGGCAAAGGCAGAGCCAACACAAGCTTCCACCACATTCCCCCTCTAATGTGCCTCAGCCTAGAGGAACCAGGTCTGAGCGTGGGAAGGGGAGTTCAGAATTCCATTTACTCCTTGATCTCATGGCTGAATCAGCCAACCAAGGGTGCTAATGAGTGCTCAGTGTGTGGGCGGTTTGGGGGCATGGAATCAAGCCCCCTCCCCGATTCATTTCACGCAGACCACTGAACATCCAGCAGATCTTATTTCTGAATTGGCCATGGCCATGAAGAGAGGGGAATATCAGGCATGCCAGAGACAGCTTAGCAGCAGCTCAGCATCTCGTCAGCTCGGAGGTTACAAGGTAATAATAACAACAAGGCGTTTTCTCCATCCAGAAGTTCACAGATCACAGTTAATTTCTCAGCCATATTCATAAAAAGACAGCGGAGGACTGATAGTGCAGGTGGAAGACCTTGTCAGGTCAACCTGTATAGACTGGAAAGCCCACCACAGTCTAATTGTATGCCCAGATTCTGACAAGGGGACAGACAGAATGTAACCTGGAACAAAGGGCCCAAGAAATGCTGAATTCTCACTGTGCTCTTAGGGGCTGATCCAAAGGACACTAAAGTCAATGGGAATCTTTCCATTCATTTCAATGGGCTTTGCCTCAGGCCCTTGCTGCAGAGATGCTTTTTGCCCTGGGCCACCAAAGACACAAGTTTCAGAGGGGTTGCCATGTTAGTCTGTATCCACAAAAACAACGAGGAGTCCGGTGGCACCTTAAAGACGAACAGATTTATTTGAGCATAAGCTTTTGTGGGTAAAAAACCCACTTCTTCAGATGCATGGAGTGAAAATTACAGATACAGGCATAAATATACTGGCACATGAAGAGAAGGGAGTTACCTTACGAGTGGAGAACCAGTGGTAACAAGGCCAATTCGATCAGGGTGGATGTGGTCCACTCCCAATAACTGAAGAGGTGGTGTCATTACTAAGAGAGGGAAAATTGCTTTCCTGATATCTGATTTGTGTCCATTTATTCTTTTACGTAGAGGCT